TAGAAACTGAACTAGTCTTTTCTCAAGAGGAGCCAGTTGAAATCCCACGGCGTCCACAGAGGTTACCAGACCCTCCCGATCAGCCGTGTTTGCTCCCCTCCAGGAAGAAGGCTCCTGATGGTCACAACTCAGGTCCTGTGCCACAAACTCGCCACCATCCTTTGTGGTGATTTTCTGGTCTGCTCAGGGAAGCCTGCTGTGTCCTCGGTGCTTGGCTGCGTCTGCTGAGCCTCCCTGGCTCCCGCAGCGGAGAACTTTGCACATCCTGGCAAGTCAGCTGCATCAGGTGTTACACATGCAAGCAGGCAAAGGATGTTCAGCATTTGGGAGGCAGACTTCTTTGCTATGACACAAGCAGGAATAGAGTGTCTGAGTTTACAGGAGCTTGGCATAAGGTTTTAGCACGCTATAGTATTAGTTTTATGTAAATGGCTGCTCGAGTAACACTGGTTCTAAGATTGGAGCACAATGACAGCAATAATGCATGAATTCTTTGAAATTATTTGCCTGGCTAAAGTGTACAAAATGCATAACTATGTATAACTGCAGGTCTAAGAGTACACTGGCAAAAAATGCCAGAGAACTGTCAGAGAAACCCCTTGATGTAAACATTAATTAGTAGAGAAATAACCCACAGGCATAAAGCACCTCAAGTAATAATGGGATATGTACCCAAATAAAGGACAAGATGAGCATATACAAATATGGGCAAAACAGAATATAGGTGCATGCAAAAGGCAGTATCTTCAGAGATAACCTCTCCGAGGGTACTGATGACCTTCACTTACTTTGCTGTGTAAGAATCATTGCACAAAGGACTTTATTTGTGGACTGTAATGCTCTTCTATTTTAATATTGTATTTCTTGTTCCTTATTTCCTGTTCAATAACAAGTCTTTTGATAAAACAGACAGGTGTCCTATGTTGATAGCACTGTGTTCCAACACACTGCAATCTCTTTCTGATTCAGCCTCAGCAAATCCAGTGGTGAAAGCTAATCAGATAACCATGCTAGAAAAGTTAATAGCAAGGAATTTGGTGATTTTTCTGTTCATCATCACTCAACCAGCATAGCAAACGTGAACCAATTACTTTCAACCACGTAGGTAAGAAAGGCTTTTTTTTTTTTTTTTTTTTTTGATCCAATGGCATTTTACAATTGTCCTGCACTAGGAACAAATAATGGCACAAAGGAAAAGGCTTTTGTAAACTCAGGCCTAGGTATAGAGCTCTCATAGGAGCTCTGGAATGTAGGACAGCAAGGGACCTCCTATATTATTGATTCAGGTACCAGAAATTGCAGGCAAGCACAAAATATTATTTTCTTCAGCAGATCAACATGTTTTCTACTACTAGGACCTTGTTGTCAGAAATTATTTAGATATTGCAGGTATCAGTTTGTGTGGGGGTTTTGCCAGGTTTGTCCTCCAGGAAAAACAGCTTTTTTATCTCCCGGGATGATCAACCACTTAATTTGGTAGTTAACTCTTCTAACCTCTTCTATCACGAACTCCCCATTCCTTGTAAGCCTACACACTTTTGTCTTATATCTGTTCTGCTGAGACAAGCCCTTCTAAATACAGGTGACCTGAACCATACATGGGATCCCAGGTGTGTTCAGTTTGCTTTGTACAACACTGATGCTTTTTTTAGTTTCCTCAGAAATACTTTTTCAATGCACGCATGCTTTGCCAACACCATGAGGCTCTTTGGCAGAGCTTCTCCTGCACACTAACAGTTTCTATTGATTCACTAAGTGACTGGACTAATTCCTAAGAATGTTCTACCTCTCCCCCATATGTCAAGGGCTATTAAATACAAAGATACCACCTATGGTTTAGGAAGCTGCAGACCGTTTCAGGGAACATTAGTGAAGTATCGATAAATACTTTTTTTTTCTACTCTTCTGTGGGAATCTGCTCTTGGTCAGCATTGAGCCAAAATGCTAGGTTAGACAGACATTAGTTTTGACCCAGCACAGCCATTCTCTTATTTTCACTTGCTCATTTTCACCTTGCATTGGTGATCTGTGTCATTATGGCTGACTATATATTCAGGTCTTTCTCAGTGTTAATGATTTCAGACTGACAACATCCCAGTATATAGTGAAAGGTTTTGCTTTTAGGCCCTAGAGGAACAAGTTTGCCTTTGGACCTTTTCAATTTCTGTCTTCTGCTGTTGCAGGCCTCAGGATTATCTGATCCTTCATTCTCTTTATTGACAATTCTTCCTCACTTTCTTCTGCTGCAAATTCTCCTTGCCATTGCAGACCTGTCCTAGTACCAGGATTTAGTGACATTCACTAGAACACCTAGAAGCCTCCTTCTCCATTTTATACGTTGTTGCTTCTCTTCTGTCCAGTTCCTTATCCACTGTGCAGCTCTTATGTTCAACTTTATTTTTTCAAGACAAATTAATGAAGGTGCAGTATTACATACATTCCTGAAGTTCGGTTACATGAGATGTACCATACATCCTTCATCTGGAGAATGATCTATCGCACAAAAAGTAGCACCTGGTTACCCTGAAAACTTTTGTCTTTGGTATCCCAAGTAATGCCATATCTTCAGTGACTCTTTTCTTCAAAATTTGTTCTGTGGACTCACAGATGGTTCAAGGCAAGCCAGAAGCTCTGTAGGGATTCACAGGAATGGTGGGCACGGCCCACACACCAGTCAGGGATGGGTCTATCTGTCCACACAGGGAATCTTCCTTCACCCCACCTCCTGGAACTCACACACAGGCCTCTGTTGCAGGTGATGTAGCAGACTGCTGCCATCCACTCGTATTCTTTGGGGCTTCCTCCACTGATGTCTTTGCTGAAGCTCCAGCATGGCTTGGTAAGAGTTGGGTATGCAGGCATATGCAGCACCCACCAGTGTGTGGGAGAAAGGACTTAGGGACATTCTTCCTTTTAGTAGCTGTACCAGTAACACAGCTCACGTGGGACTTCTATGTGATCCCATGCCAACACATGATGCCATCTTCTCAGTCATGCAGCAGCTCATCCTTTCTGGTTTATATGGTAACAGACAGACATCGTACTTGTTGCCTGTAACTAGTTGTACATGTAAGAAAGAAAACAGTGAAACTGTTGGTACATGTGGATACACAATGCTTTTTTCTCCCTTCCCAAATCCTCCCGAGTTTTTACTTGCCAGTAGCTTGGCTACATGAGTGACTGCTCTTCTCAAACCCTTTCACACGGGAATTTGCTCAGCCTGAAATATGGTTGTGAAAAAGACTTGCTCTTCACATTAAGAAAACCAGCACACCACCACCAACCGTCACACATCCCACACGTGAACCTGCACAACTACAGTAATGTTTTCTTTCCAAAGCGCATAGAAAGCCTATGGCTTTGTGCTGAGGGAAGCCAGCTCCCAGAGCTACAAGATGAAGGCTAAAAATAACCCATTAAGGATTAATTTAAGGATTTTTAAATACAGCTAATGAATATGCATAGGAAAGGCGCATGGTCTCCAGGAAGGAGCACACACAATCAGAGAGTCTACAAGGGAAAGGGGGTGGGGTTTACACCCAGGCAGAGTGCCAAAGGAGAAATAAGAGGATATTTGCTATGAGGATAGAGGAGGTGCAAAGACAGTGTGTTTCCGAAGAGGCAGAAGCAGAGAGGTGAGATGCTTCGCTGTTAAAGAGGCAGAAACAACACAGTGCAACCACAAAGGACAGGATCCTGTTTGAAAAGCAGTGAGGACAGTAATGAAGCCTTCGGTGTTGGCCAAAATGTTATACACAAGGATAAGTGAGCTTGATAGTCCTAGAGCAGGAGGCAAGGTTTTGTGCCTCAGAGATCGGTGGCTGAGACAGTGTGACATGGATAGACATAGAAAACAGACTTCGATGCAAGAAGTGAATTTCAGGGGGGGTGGCTTAAGGGCTGAGCACACCACAGGAGGATCAACGGATGCAGAAGACACTGCTTTGGTGGTGGCACTGCAGTGGGAAGCTGGGTGCATCGTGAACCTGCAGTGCTTGTGTGGAAAACTAGAGAGCAATGGCTGGATGCACAACTGGATCTCAAGATGGTCGGCATACCAGGACAGCGGGCGTGTGCCTGGCGTCACGCGTTGCACTGAAATGTGGCACTTTGGAAGCTATTTTCTCTTACAAAGTGATACTGAAGGAAGTTGTTGCATCCTGAGGCAGAAGCCCCCTGGGAAGGTTGGGCATTGGATATAAAGCACTGAAAGAGGACACGCAGGATGGCAGTCCTGACATGCCCTGAAAACAAGATACCACGTATGAGCAATAGGGGTGATGTCAGACAGCAGGGATTATCTACAGTTAATGGGAATCAGAAAGCAAATCTAGTTATTCACTTGCTGTACTGCAAAACAGAAAGCTATAGCAGCAGTTCCAGTGAACTTAAAGGTGCAGGGGGAAAACAGGCTCACTCTAAGCAATTTCCTCATACCAATTTCTCTGTGAACAACATTTAAACAGTTAAAAACTTCTTGCTTTTCACAGAGGGTAGAGGAATGAATACACGGAATTAACTGTCCAATTCATTGGCTATTTAGTATCAAGAAAAACTGGGGTTTTAACATGTTGTCTTATGAAAATTAAGTTTATTTAGTAGCACTGCTCATTCGCCTTCCCCCTTTACTCCCATCACTAAGAATCTTTGAATGTTTTAGCCACTTTCACACAAATGTTTCAAAAGGGTAGAAAACTCACAATTTTGTGAGATTTGGTGGCTTTCACAATGGCACACAGAAACAGCCTCAAGCTGTTATACATTTAGCTACATATTGAGAACAATTTGAGCGCTACAGTGACCTGTTAAAAGCAAGCAAGGGGTTCAGGGGTTTCATTCTGCAATAGGGGGTCTTGATACATGTTTAAGTTGGCAAAGTCCCTAGTAGAGCTGCAGGGGAAAGAACAGCTGCAACACCACCAAGACAATGAAACAGGACCAGCTTCACAGGCCAATGCTATAGGAGGTTGCTACTGGAGGCAAAGGACACAAAATGCACCTTTTTCACTTAAAGACATTCTTTATTCAATCTTTTTAATATACAATATTATTTTTAATCTGTAAAAAGTACATATGCAGGATTCCAGGTCAGAGGCAGAAGGTTTCCACATCAGAAGATAGACTTTTGCCCTTTTATTATTTTGGAGGAAAAATAATCTGTCCGTTTTAGAGAAAGCAAGAATAAAGGCAGAATGCAAATCCAACTTCCACCAAGCGATTAGGATTAAAGGCAACAATTCACCATAACAAGTCAGGCTGTCTCCTTCCACTTCAGTGGTTCCTAACTTTTCTGGGCAATTACAGAGCACTTTGTTAGAAGGAGCTGCCAGCCAAAGCAGCTAGTGCTTATCATCTCTGCTACAGTTGTATGCACGTAACTTGCAAAAGAGCTTGCGTTTCCTCTTTGTATAGAAACTCAAACTCTTGAGTCAGAAGACTGTTTATCAAAATTCAAGGAGAGAAAGAGGGATGTCATATCAGGATGAAGATCTCTAAACTACAGTGTGGATCAAGAGCTTGCTTTCATTATTCTCTGGTAACAAGAAGGCTGTTTCTTATTTGTCCCCTTAAAAACACGGACTAGATTTATTAATGGACATAACAGGCTCAATTTGCTAAAAGCCTGTTACTACAGCCCTGAGATGCAAACTGCCTCACCATTCTCTGTGGATGCCAGGTTACACGGTTGATCCTTTCAATGTTAATGCTATTAACCATTTCTCCAAACTAGGGAGAGTCAGATACCTAAGCTCTGTAATATCATTTCCTCAGGGACAAAAGGGGATTATAAAAGACTGCGCAATAGGGCGTTGCTTAGCTGTAAATCAGCACAGGGTAGACCTTTAACCTTAAAGGATGGTGTTAGAGAGAGTGTGTAATTATTTTTACTTTTCAGAATCCAGATACTCAGCATTCAAATCTTCTAAAATACTGAGTGGGAATACATCAGTGATTGGGAGTTAGAAGACAGTGATCCACAAATTTGGAGTAGGGAGCTAAAGGAGCCTCAAAGGTGTGACTGGCACAGGGAACTCCCTGCTTTTCCCCTTTACTCCAGCATACTTACTATTTTCCATACTTTTCTTAAAAATTCAGTTAAAAGGATTAGATGGTGCAGCAAAATGAACATCCAGAATATCATTCAAGGGTTTTGTCTTTAGAGGACAAAGATAAGAAGTTGACTTCTTGACTGCAGGACACACACAGCTCCAGGGTGGTCAATGGAAGCTGCAGAAATCTGGCTGCTTTGAAAAATCAAGCTGTAAGCGTTAGAAAAAAATTTACTGCTAGCAGATCCTGACCAACAGGCAAGTTTGAATCTTGGATTAGGAAAATAACTGAACAGCCTTGTTTTGACTGCACGCAAACAGGAAATAGACAATTCTGGGATTTCCAGGCTCTTGCCCAAATCCAGTGTGCCAAAAATGTACATGACTTTCTGTTCTTTACAGGAGTGGGTATTGCAGAAGTTGCTAAAATGGCACATCTACCTAAAGAAAAGGAGGATTGTTTTGTTAGAGAATACAGTGCAAGACTCAGAAACAACTAGGACTAAAAAAGTCATTTTGTGCTTAAATTTACACTCTATCTTCATGAAAGTAAGACAGCAGCAACAGAATGAAAATGGCAATATTCTACTGTACCTTACGTACCCAGAGAGAGAACAGTCTGAACTTTGGGTTGCACATAACGCCATTCTGCAGATCAGAACCTACTTCTCTGTGAAGTACTCGGAACGAGGGCACATCACTTCAGTCAGAAGTTTCAGTATCTGCGGTGCTTGGTTATTATGCACGCACCTCGCTCAAAACCCATTACCTCCAAACTCAGCTTGCTCTAGGAAATCTCAGGATGGAGAGATTCATGAATGACACAGCAATTAGTTCTTAAAATACATGATTTTTGATAGACTATGCACATCGGTAGCTTCTGGAGGAAAAGGATAGTTTGTCTTTTAAAGAGTGATAGAGTAGAAACTGACAGCCGTTGGGGCAACTGGGAAACGAGAAACAAGTGTCCTTTATTTGGTACCTGCTGCTTGTCTACACAAAGAAAAAATAGCAGTACTGTACATCTGCTTTGAGAAAAATACCATCCCACAACATGAAATGGCTTAGGTCCTCAATTCAAGCATTCTTGTGGCAGTGAGTTAACCCATTGGGATTCGCGGAGGAATTAATTTGAAGGGTCGCTCTTTAATTCACAAGGGGGGGACGGAAGAGCAGCAGTGATAAGAGTTTGCTGTTTCTGGGACTCTAGAATTCTGTCCTTGTCCTTTCTCTGAACAGACTGGCAGCCATTCTACATCTGCATTTATCAGGTGATGTACAGGGATGGGTGTATGAAAGTGCTTTTCTTTTTTTCGCATTTTATTTTATTTTAGTTTAGTTTAGTTTAATAAAACAGAAGAGTCTGCTTTTCCTCTTTCTCCTCTGTACCCAGACCAATTTAGGAGAACAAGGCAACCGAGTGCAGTTTTAAACTAATAACAATTTTCATAGGATGGGAAAAACTTGATTTGAAAACACAACATATCTGAAGTTTGAAAAATGGAAAATTACTAGCTCTTCAATAACTCACCGAATACTAATTAGAAATCAATGTGGGACCAGTAAGAATAATCCATTTATTAAGCTACTTCTAATTTTAAATAAACAATTACTTGAATCAGTATTATTTACTATAATAATTACTTTATCAGTTCTCAAATTATTTTTAAGATACTGCTGCAAACTGCAGTAACTAAGTAACTGGTATTAAGGTAAAACACTGAGATTGGAGTTTCCTCCTCAAACTGAAGTAACTGTCTGGAAAAAAGCATCTGATAGCATTTTTTCTTAGATCATGTGATTTCTATGTCTAAGTGTCAAAGACAAGTGAAGGAAAATTTTAGGGGGGAAATTCTACTATAATGTACAGTCAGAGATAATATGATAAAGAGAAAAGCTTTTATATATAAAACTTCATATAAAAATTTTTTTGAGGTGAACAGATAGCGCTCACTCCCTTTAGATCTGATGCTGCACTGCTGTAGCTCACTGAAGAGTTCTTCCACTCACTTCGGTATGAAAACACAATCAAGATTTTTTACAGGCTCAACCCGTGCACTAATTAGGAGGGAAAGCAGCATCTCACAGCTCTTTTTTAGCATATGGGCCAGTCACCATGGCAAAAGGATTTGAGAGCTATGAGGGGGAATAAAAAGAATAATTTGAGCTGTAAGGATTCCGGAACAGCAGTAAAAAAAAAAAAGAGATTGAGATATACCCAAAAAGATGAAACTTCTTTTAGCAAGGAAGCGAAGACTGAAGCAGACTCAATTTAAGTGATTCTGTCCAGCCCAGCCTAGGAGTACTTGGAAAAAACTACGCAGGTAGCAGCATCACATTTCTCATAAACTAATGGAAGAGGAGACTCTTCAGTTTCTTGTTCTACTCATATGTGAGAGATGTTGTTTCCAGAGATCATGTTGGCTTTGTACTGGAGCATCCAGAAGAAAAGGCGCTTTGTAAACTAAATCAAAGGCAGTTTGGGGCTTCTGTCATACCCATACCTCCAAAGAAGGTTCTGTGAATAGTATTCAACGAATGAAATTTAACTTTCAGGAAAAATCCAGATTGTGTGGAAAAATATAAAGCAACAAACTCCTGCTGCTTATCTCAATGGCAGCATTTTTAAGTGCCATATACTGTATCCTCCTATATAAATCACGAGAGACTGTTTTTCTCATGTTGTCAGCTCTGTTTCTTTAGCTAAAAAGAACCAGGACTAATAAGACAGTGTTTTTTTCCATCTATTTTTCCAAGATTTGTGAGGAAGGGAAACTTAGGCTCCTACCTACCTCTGTGATACGCTCCAGACTGTGACCGCAGCTTGCCAGATGAACTAAGCCCACGCTGCTGACAGTGAACTACAAACCAAATGCTTGCTAATTGTTTGGGTTTTGGTTTTTGTGGGTTTTGTTTTGTTTTGTTTTGTTTTGTTTTTTTTTTTGATGTAAGCATACAACACACATCTTTCAGCATTATTCTGGAAAGGGAAAATGAGAAGGCAACAGTTTTTATAGTTTAGAGTTTAGCTTTGAGGCCCTGAGAATGGCTGCCAGTCTGGACAAACAGATGCTCCTTAGAAAATTCAGACAGGTACAGAAAAAAAATTCAAATCCTGATGCTGCTGGTGCAGTGATGTTGTTGCTTTGTTCATGCCATCATCAAACAAAAACAAACCCCCAAATAAAATCTAGGTATTTGGAACCCACCCGATTGGAAGAGGTGACTGGTGTGTTGTTCCTTGCAACAGCGAACAGCAGCAGCAGCAAGTTCCTCTCCCTAGATGGGGAAGCCTCTTCTTCCTTAAGCTGCTACATTTGTATTAAGCAGTAGATTCCATGTCTTGCTAGGGTTCAAAGCGCATGAAGTCTCCGTCCTGCAAACACCATACTAACATGTTTTGGTCATGTATAAAACCGAACTTTTAACTTATCTATATGTTGAAGAGCTTTATTTCTCACGCCGGTACTTGCTTGACTCAAGAGGTCTAGTTTTATCAAGTGTCTGTCTCCTCTCCTGCTTAAAGTCTCAAGTGGTCCATGTAAACAAAACAGAGCTGAAAACAGTCTCTCTTCCTCTTCACAGAGCTGTTTTTATTGATATGCAGGATTTCCTGACAGTGTGGTGTTGGCTAAATGTAAAACAGGCAGAGGATGAGCTTCTGTGTTAAAAACCCAGTTGTCTAATGGTAGAAGGTCATCATTGGAGAAAAGTAGATACAAATACCTAGATAGCAAGACAGAGAGGAAAAACAGCAGGTATTAAAGCAGAGCAGTAGACAGGCAGGGGCAACACAGCAGCTTCATGTCCCGCCAGTCAGCAGCTAAAGCTACAAACAAGGAACTTGCTTTCAATCTTTTATAGCACCCACACAACCTTCCCTGTTGTAATGATCTGAAGGGTCATTTTTATCATGATCAACCTCTTCAATGAAAAGCTGTTAATGAAAAGACAACATTCTAATCTTTCCAAGTAACTTCTATTTTTTAAGACTCCTTTGAAACACTTGCAATGTGAAACAAACATCAAGACAACAAGCACAGGGATTTGGGGGACAAGGGAGCAGAGAAGAAGTTGGCCAAAAAATCTTCTTAATGGACTAAACCCACTTGGGAATTACTAATCCTCTTTAATCAAAATCCAAGTTTTCGCGGAAGCACAAGGGAAGCCTCTAAGCCATGCCAGATATCTGACTTGTCATCACTGTGCTGGAAGCTGGTTCAGCTTCTGGTGGGAGGAAATGGGCCAAGATATTCCGCAGAGGGGATTCATAAATGCTGTACATTATGAAGCAATGCATAGCAAATGAAGCATGTAACAAAATTAAGGTTTCTGGACACACACGGAAGAAGAGTATTTCTTGGTTCCTTTTTCTTAACACACTTCTGAATGTGGCTGTGTTATGCTTTGTAGGAGATATTGGTGGTAGGGATCTTTGCCAAGGCTTCCAAACTCAACTGGTAAAATTCAGAAGGCATTTCCCTAGTTCCAGAAAACCTGACTGTGCAAGTGCAAGCGTAAGATCGTGGGCGCACAGGATCTCTCAGCTCCTGCTACAGCTCGTCCATCCAGAAAAGGACAGGTCTTGCCGCATGTGGCGAGGGAGGAGTGCCGTTCCCACTGGTGGGCTCTGACACATCCAGGACGTGCATACACCTTGTTCTGCCTTCACTCTGCTGAGCCTGCTGTTACTTTGCACGCTCTCAGTCAGACACTGGTAGTGTCTACTGTCTACAGTCCTGTGCCACTGGCTGATCGTTCTCCCACTGCCTTTATTTGCCAGCTGTATCCACAGCACAGTGGAGCTCTACTTTTTCTTCCCTTCCTCACCAATTAACTGTTTACAGATAAAAACTTATTGCTGAGATGATTCGCTTTTGCCCTGCATATCTAGTCTCTTTCTCAACATTTTTCATTCATCTTTAAAACGTCATGCCTTTCCTTTCCTCCTTACTCCTACCTTGCTTTCTCCCTCTGCAGCTCTCCAAACCCTTCTTCGCTGGAACAGCAATGCTTTATCTTACTCAAATCCACCTTCCTCATTTGATTCATGCTCTTCCTTTGAGTAACTTAAGCAACCTATTTCTACATCTCGCTACCTTCTTGCCACTCATACTGCTCCAACTCATAATTTGCCAAGCATCTTTGATGAGCCAAAGTATCCGAGCAGCAACAACGCATGTTTGGGAGAGGTATCCATTTTTGAATTGGAAGGGAATGAACATGCAGAAGCTATCATCAATAGCAGGAAAGATCATGGAAGCAGGCATTCCATAACACACATTTTATGCCCCTCTTCTTAGGGACATCTTAACTTTCCTCATAGCATCACACCCAATGCTTCTGTCTTTATTTTCACAACCATTTGAGCTATTCTAACCTTATGTTCTCTATTTTACCTCAAGGTGATACCAGTTTCTGGTTTGCCTATGCCAATCACATTGACATCAAACACCTAATAACCAGGTCTCCAATAAAACTACATTTTGTCCCACAAGCGATAAAATGATCCAAACCAAAACCCAATAAAAATCTCCGAGTTCCTTCCTAGAACCGCCTTCTTTCGCAATGCTTGCCCCATAGTACATCCAGTTACTGAGGGATGCATCAGTGAATTTTCAGATCTCCTTGTGATTATTTCGGATGCAGACAGGATTCTGGCAATACTTCAGAGGTCATTCTCGTCACCACAGAAGTCCCTTAGGAGCAGCTTTCATTCTCTGATTTGGCATTGATAGGCAGATCAATCATATAAGATCAGCTCCTGGGGAGGTATTGCTTCTCTGACTGCACCTGTTTGAAACTGCCGCCTCTCTCTTTGGGACTGTAGCTTTTAGTCTCCAGAAAATGAACTTGAAGGAGTAAGTGAAATAAAATTAATGATGGCAACAGAGGAGGCATCAGTGGCTGACTTTCTTTTTATAATGATAACATGGGGAAACAAAGAATTGTGATTATGGAGAGGAATTTGGTAAGAAGCCAGCAGGACAGAATAGCCAGACTCTCCCCTTAAGTGTGATGAATTTGGAGCCCCTTCTTGCCTGCAAAACATGTTGTGGTGTCTGAAGTAGGTACCAGTACTGTCACTTTCAGGACCTCCTTTCTCCCCACTACATTTTGAGCTCACGATACCCAAAATCAAAACATCAGCTACAGCTAAAACCTGAAAATTTTATATTGCCGATACCGTAAACTCTGCTTCTGCATAGAAACCCTGTTTATTCTGCAAAGCCTGCATGCCATGCTAGACTGTTAAATGGTTACAACTGTTTTTTTTAATTGTATCACTGGGTTGTAAAGACAGAAAGGGTACCTTAATGAGTCTTATTGCTGACAGATTTGTGCAACAACATCGGTACCATCCCTCCCGTCACACACTGGCAGAAAGCGGTACGGATATGCAAGCAGAGGCAACAACTACGTCTCCCAATAGCGACTCTGGCCTCATTCACACTGCCAACAGTGGCTTGTCTATGGATTTAACTACCTAAAAAATTCTCCAAACTGTTATGCAGGAGGAAAAAAAGAAAAACCAGGGTATGGAATATAGCCAACTTGGACTCTTTTCTTCCAGGATTTCAGTGAGGTGACCAATACAGGAATCTTGGTAGATTTCAATGCCGGAACTGTATTACCAAATTTGCTGATGTAACTTGAATATCAAGAAAATTGTCACACATTAGAAGACATTGCTTCACAGGCAAAACTCCACAGCAATCAGAACCGTAAGACACAAGTGCTCTTGATAACTAGTCTGTGTCAGTGATGGAGATGAGCAGCCATGACATACTAGCTCAGTTTTAAAACTGGACGTCTTAAAATCCCCGCAAGATATTCCTACTTTGATACTAGCTTTTCTTATTGTATGTATCATCTCTGTAAATTAGAGGTTAGGGCATATTCCTGTATAGCACTTTTATTAATTAAAAAGAAACATGGTGGAAGACCAAAGACTTTGAACATTTTATCTCGAACCAAATATGCATAGTGCATTAGCTTCTGTAGGGTGGATTACAGGTGTCTTACTGATTTGACTGAACTGAAAATATTTAAGCATGTAAGAGATTATAAAATATGCCTGATATTCTTGCTTACACCAAAAAGCATTCTAGAAAAGTATTTTGTGGGATAAATACAGAAAAATCATCCAAGGGCACAAAGGACTTTTGTTCCATGCATTTACTCCCTTCCAGTGACACACACAGGAGAAACAGGTTCTACAATATCAGACCATGGCACATTCTTGTATAAGACATGTCAAGTCAATGTATCTAAAAAAAAAAAAAAAATTTTTTTGTAAAGGGAATTTCTTAAAAGGAGGTAACCTCTCCTCTGCTGTGATGCCAGAAATCAAACGTAAGTCTTAAAAAATAAAGCTCTCTCAGAATAAGCTTATTGTATGGGAAATTCCGCTTGTATCTTCTGCTGGTAAAACGCATTGATCTGGGACCCTAAAGCTGGGAAAAAAACAAAGCCCAAACCATAAGCCACCTTGACAAGACAAGAGATTATTTGATGAGCTACTGCATTCTTCTAGAATTTAGGTGCTAGCTTTTACAGGAAGATGCAAGAGTGAGGAGAACTTACTTCAAAGTTTCAGCAAGAAAAAAGCTCTGCTGTACATCATCATATGTAGGAGATGAGGAATAGACATCCTTGACACCGGAAAAGCCACCACTGACTCGGCAATACTTGTCAATTGCCTGCAAAGAGGAAGGAGAAAAAAAAAGGAGAATTTAACTGTAGAGCAAAATTTTGAAACATTAAAGGAGCAGGCTTGATCAACAAGGGAGGTCACTCTTTCTGTGCTGTATCATTCTGTTGTGAGTCTCCTTGTCAGAGGATGCTGTGAATGTTAACAGTTTATGCTGACCAAAAAAATTAAAAAGGGACACATACAAAAATAAAATCCCTCCAGGACTACTAATGACACCACATCTGGCAAACTGCTAAATGCTAAGAGAGTATTCTGGGGAAGAACACTTTCTTTCTTGGGTAGTTACTGTGAATTGACATTGATGACAGGACATGGACTCAACTGACTTTTGCTGAGCTGGTATGGCTCCTCATAGGTAACACGGAGTAGAACATCCATCAGGCAATCAATGCAACATGTGCTATGAGGTGCGTATGAAGATGACAAACATCTCTGGATTCCGCAGCTGGAAGAGTCTGAAGTGTTACAGGAACTCTGTGACTAGTGGCTAGTCATAGGCACTTACTGAAAATGGGAATAAGTACTATACTCCTCTGTAGGGATTGCTGAGTTCATCTTGCAAACACTTCTAGCTGCTGCTTTCTCCCCACAGTTCCATCTCCTACATGTGCTCTTCTCTGTTTCCCCTTAATATAGTTGAAACTCAAGTCAGCTTGTGTGCTGGACTGCAGAAGAGCTCATTATCTTTAAAGCATGAAGTTTAAATCCATAAACATTCCACACAGAAAGGGGCCAATGGATCCATGATTCCCAAATCACCCAGCTAGTCAGCTCCAACACAGTACTGCAAAAAGCACAATGGAAGAGGAGGAGACTGGAAAGAACATATTAGTAGCTCAGAGCACCTCTCGCCTATGCTTTCATTATTCCACTCACATGCACGACCTCAGAGCACACAAGGATATCAGCCATTAAAACTGGCCCCAAAGAAATGACTTTGAAATGATTCATGGGTTATTTATGCTTCCCCGCTGCTCTGGCAGTGCTTCCTCAGCAGACACCAACTCTTTTAATAGATTCACACAGGGACAGAAAAGGCACAGTGATGAAGGAAAACGTTTGGCTCAGGATGTCTGTCATTACCAACTACTGAATGTAGCTACCTGTAGTTCAGTAATCTATGATTCAGACTGTTAGCCTGCATGAAGATTCTCTCTGCATGATGTTTTAGGCCCAGATTTTCGTTAATTCTGATTTCTGCCAGTTGTACTCAACAGAAGCGGAGGGGAGTCAAGGCAGCGCAGCAAATAAGTTTTGAATAATATCCCTTTTTAAGCAGAGAAAACAAAATCAATCAACGTTAACTCTTCAAGGTCCTTACTACAGCCTTTGCATACTAGAAATACTGGGAAACAAAGGAGAATTTTCCATTGGACACGTGCATGAAGAATGCTGGCAGATGCCATCACTGAACTCAGGAGTAAAAGTGAAAAGACAAATGAGCAAGGTACCTAGGACAGTAAGTCACAGCACATCAGGTACTACAGCTAACTTCCTCCTAGTATACGCTCTTAGCCTCTGAAAATGTGAAGTTCTTCAGGGACCAAAGAATCATCCACACTGTGCAAAGTTTTTTCAAATTTCTGAAGATCAAGATTTTTAAAGAAGCAAGAGGTGAGACTGGCAAAAGGATAATTACTGGAACAGCATGGCTCTGGAGCCTGAGCTTATGCCAAGAAAGGTACAGCCTTTCTTGGCAAAATCTAATTCTCATTGTAATTCCTTATCTCAGGTGGAGCTTTCTCCAAGTGTGGATCGAAATGCTCCCCTTTTTTGGGGGCTTAACCCTAAAAGGAGAGAGCATCTGGATGAATTATTTTCAGATGTGGTTACAGGTGCAGGCTACGGCTACACTGAGGCTAGTCACACGTTGGGATTTGGGTTGACCAAGTTTTCTCCATAATCCGGAAAGAAAGGTGTGTGTGACACATCTAGCCCAACAGCTTCAGGTGCACGACAATCTCTGCCTGCATGCTCTTGCACACCACAGGTGATACCAGTTATCACGACAGCCAAACCAAAAAAAAAAAAAAAAAAAAAAAGAAGAAAAAGAAAAAGATTAAGTGCTTGGTCAACTTCTGAAGAAATAATGCACACGCTGCTTAGGGAACCACGTGCACATTCCTCCCCGCAAGTCCTACAGCTGCTAGAGGGGCGTTATTTGAATAAACAAGAGCCAAAGCACTTTTGCTTTCTAGGCAGGAAATGAAGCGCCTCCTCTTGCCACTATCCCCTTTTCTGTAACACTGCAGAACAGGACCTTGTCTCTGCTCTGGAGTATGACAAGGTATGGGGGGAAAGCTCCAACGGTTACAACCTGGCCAGAACTTCTAGCATGCAGGGTCTGACCTTGCAGGTGTTCCTCTGGTCAACAATTCAGCAACCCTGATGCTGTGTGGCACAGCTAGGGCAGAAGAAACTTGCTAGTGATTGTAGTAAAATGAAAAGGAGGGAAAAAAGAGTACCACTGTTAGGACAGTGTCTCCTTCGATTCATTTATTCTGGAAACTGCAGACAATAAATAGCACTGAGATCCTGCTCTGTGCTGTAGAGGTATCATGCTTGGATAACTAAGTGAAACACTTGGTGAAACTAGGAGGCGTAGAAGCCTGAAGAAAGAAAATGTGTGATTTATATTGATTTTTTTTTTTTTTTTCCTTACAATTACCAAGTAGTCTTGTATCTTCAGAATTTTCTCACTGGGGAGACAGACTCTGGCTAGACTGGAGTTCAGGATAGGCAGAGGATTTATCCTACCTGTTCAGAGATCTAGATACTGCAGGTAGTAATGAACTGTAGAGGAAAAATTCCTCTAAAAGACTGCTATACAGCTATTCATCCAAATATGGGTAAACAAATTGTCCTTGACTGAGGGGTACAGAACTTCAAAACATTGGCTGAAAGGTTGGGTGCTGTAGACAAGCTGCTTAAAAGGCCCTTCAAATCTGCAATGTTCTGCCTTCATCCAGATCTCAGAGTACTTGGTGTGGAGCCACCTGGTTTGCCACCTGGCTACTCTTCCACTCAATAGCTGAAGACCAGTCTCCTTGGTAAAATGATGCTAAATTTATTGCACCCTAGAATACAGGGAAGTCCTAGATGACTGGAAGGATATCACGGTAATGCTACTATTATGAGGTACTGGAAGGCTCAGCAATTTTAGGATGGCATACCTGATGTTATTGCCAAAGAATTATGAAAATACAGGTGAAAAATACAGAAGAATAAGAGGCTAATTGACACCAATCAGCATGGTTTTATAGAAAACTGTCTTGCTCACAAGCTTGATTTCATTCTTTGAGGTCCACAAATTGACAAATAAAGGTAACTATAGAGCTGTAATAAACTTAAAAGTTTCTGAAGCACTTGGCATGGTACTATAAGATGTTATGATAAGACAAAGCAGCATTATACCATATCAGTGTAACTATCTTAATTTAAAACTAACTGACAGAGCTGTAAGAGCAAACTAGCAATGTAAAATCATCACCAAATAGAGCTGCTTCTCACAGAGATCCACAAGGAGCCGTCTGGAGTTTTATCAGTCACCACAACACCGCTGCTGGCAAAAATGACATAGGTAAATAATAGCAAACCATGTAATCTGGCGGTAACCAGGGCCCAAACAAAATGGATTTCATGTAACTAGGCACGTAATCCTAAATCTAGACATAAAGGCTGTGTAACTGCAGAACCAGGTTAGCCTAGAAAGTAAAGACACTTCAAAGAATTCAGTGGCCACGTGACAATTCAGTATGAGTTCCTGCTAGGATAGTGTGGCAGATGCACACACAAGGACAGTAAGCAGTAGCAGGGATATAATTTTACTTTTGCAGAGGGCCGTGGGTAAAGTCAAAACTGGAACAGGCAATTCTACAATTCATTTTTAAAAAAAGGATGATGAACTGAGGTGGGTGCAGACATTTGGAGAAAATGCTTTACAGCAAGAGACAATACAATTTGTTTAGCATCTTAAGTAGACTCAGTGGTGAGCTTATTACAATCTACAAAAGTCTTTGGGAATAAAAGACATTTTAATATGGTATAGAAAGTCATATGAAAATCCAGTGATTGACAGCTGAAATTAGGCAAATTCAAATGGGAAATAAAGCATGTATTTTTAACAGCACGAGTAATTAAGTAATGGAACAAACTACCAGAAGTGGATTTTCCAGTTCCCTTTATTCAAATCAGGAGTAGACCAGGAGAATATGCAACAGTGTACTCTTGCCAAATACATGTGTCTCGACTCAAAAATGATGCCTGTGACATATGAGGAGATCAGAGTTGATCGAAGTTCCTTGGAAATAAAATCAGAGATGCCTCTAGATCGGACCCCAGCTCCCTCAGTTCCACTGAGGGTGTTTTTGTGGTTGCATGTGTGACTCTTCTTGACTATGCCAACAACACGCTCACAGAAACTGTGCCAGTTTCTTCACCAGCTGTGATACTCACAGCTTCCAACCCAGGAACCCATGTTTCTTTCACCTCCAACCTATGTCTGTCTCTTTTCTGTCTACTTTGCTTCATCAAGGAGAGCGCTATAGGTCTTTCCACTGCATCTTATTGTCTCCTCAATTTGCCTGAAGTTAGCACAAACTTGAGGTCTTGCATATTGTTTTCACTGTAAGTAGAAACTCTGAACGAACTCTGCAGCCTCCGCGAGGCAATCCTACTTAGTCAGATATGCAAGTCTTCAACTAATAGTTGAACTCTTTATCCACAGAGCTTAGATTAGTAATTGGCTTTACATGCCTATTGTGAAGTGGTGGCTCTTATTGCTTTAAAATAATTAGCCTAAAAAGGATGTTAGTAATTTTCTGTATTCACCCTGAATATCTTGCATGCCTATTTCTGTAATACTTGAGCAAGCCCCCCAGCATACCATCATCCAATCTAGCTGGCTCAATACAATTGAGATGGATGTTATCTCTAGTGTTAAGTATAATATTAGGGAGAATTAGTAATTTTTTTTTTTTTTATTAGGAAAGAGATAGAGACCCTGTCATAGGGATCTGTGATCACTGAGGTAATGTAAGATTCAGCTTCCTGGGTTTTCCCCACAGACACTAGATTTGGAGAGGCTTGACAAAACAGGTCATGGTCAAAGCACATGTGCACTAAAATGCCCTAGTTTTATCAAAAAATCTAGATAATAAAGGCAAAAAAAGGATGCCAATGGCAAAACAGATAAAGAAACTACAGAACAAATATATGCATACACACATAATCCAGCCTTCTGTACCAATTCCCATTGATAAAAGGCAGAAGGAGATCTGGGCTGGGAGTGGTAAAGAAACCTAAGTAATACAGTATACTTAAAAGGCAGGTGATTCTCTAATGTATCCTGGATCATCTCTGAAGAGTTCTTAAAATGACAGAAGCAGACCTTTAACATATTGGTGATGTATTCATCCATTCAAAGCAGCAAACAAGGAAGCCCACCAAGAACTCAGTCATCAAACACCAGGTTACGCCGGATTCAGTGTAGAAAAAGAAGAACATTTATAACTCAGAAACAAAATTCAGTTTCCTCAGAAGTTGAAAAGAACTACTGGACTTCTGATGAAGAAACTATCAGTCACCATGAGAAGTCTGTAATACAGATTTCAAAATATGCTTCAGTGGTTGAAAGGCAAAAGAAAGTGAATACAGCCACTGTTGTATAACAGCAGCAAGCCAACTGCTCTGTGTGTCACACCAGATTCTTCTCTATTTATAAATGGAGGAATAAACACAACCAGAGCTGTGTGTAGTAGGGAAGAAGGAAAAACAGCGAGTAGGTGTGAGGAATAAACACAAGAACTTATTATCTATGTGCAGGGAACTGAAAACCCTGGGGAACAAAAAGCTTCTCAAGCTTCTGTGTTAGTATGATGGTGAGGCAAAAAAATCTGTAATTGTGGGAAGGAGGGGCATGCAAAACCATTTACAAAGAGTTCAAAAAAGATTTTATGGTTATGTTGGATAAAGAAACTTCTTATTGAAGAAGCAAGCAAAAAAAAAGGCACTCTGTAAGGTCAGAGGCAGTTAAGCACATTGGCTGCTTGATTTGCACAACTTTGATGCAGGTTGACAGAAGGATCCTACCCTGCACGCAGGGAAAATTGGAGGCAGTGGAAGAGTGAGGGTTTGGTTTGATTAATGGGGACCAAGATATGAAGGTGAACAGAGAAAACTGAACAAAATGAAACGCAAAGACATGCTTTGCAGTGTGCTTAAGAGACAGATCCTGGCCTGAAAAAACATACATCTATAAATTCTTTAACCTAGTACAAAGGACCTCATCTCAGCTTGGAACATCCAGCCATAGCTTCTGACAGGAGCTGGTGTTAGCTCAGCAGGCATCTGTAGTACACACACTGTCAAGGAGTAGGTTCCTAAATCTGTTCCTTTGTTCTATTAGAAACATGCTGTCGTGGTTTGAGCTCAGAGGGCAACGGAGCACCACGTAGCTGTTCACTTTCCCCTTCCCCCAGCACTAAGAAGGAGAAAATAAGCCAGGTTTGGGATTTGAGATAAAACAGGATAAATCACCCATTATGGTCATGAGCAAAAGGCAGACTTGTTCAGGGAAATAAAAAACAAACCACAAATTTAATACAGACACTAACAACAACACCACTTAACAGACAGAGTAGGACAGTGAGAAGCATTGCCACATCCTGAGAACACCTTCCCCCCACCCCTCCCTTCTTCCCGGGCTCAGCTCTGCTTCCGATATCTCTACCTCCTCCCCCAGTGGCGCAGGGGCAGGGAATGGGGGGTGCAGGCAGTGCTGCCGCTGCTTCCATCTTCAGTGGGGGGAGCTTCTGGAACTTCTTCCCCCTGCTCCATCGTGGTCCCCCTCTCACAGCAGACAGTCCTCCACAAACTTTCTCCGATGTGAGTCCCTCCCACGGGCTGCAGCGTTCCCCACACTGCTCCGTCATGGGTCACTAACTTCCTCCAACTGGATTCCCTCCCACGGCTGCAGCCCTTCCCGAGCTGCTCTGGTGTGGGACACCCCCGCATGCTGCAATCCTCCCAGCGCTGAATTACAGCAGCGGGGGCTGCTTCTTCCCACAGGATCCTGGCCTCCTTTAAGCATAGACACTTTAGTTGGTATGTGAGGCCCCTCACAGGCCATAAATCAGTGTCTGCTCCTCCATAAACCTTCATGGGTGGCAGGGGGGGCCGCCCTGCCGTCTCCCCACAGGATACAGGGGGGTCTCTGCTCCGGCACACCTCCCCCCTCCTTTCTTCCTCCGTTCCCCCACTGACCTTGGTGTTCATGCAGCTGCCCCAACTCCTCCTCACCAGTCCCACTGCCCGTCACCACGTCCCTTCTTAAATACATTATCGCAGAGGCGCAGCTGACTGGCTCGATGTTAGTGCAGAGGTGGAGCTGACTTGGAGCCGTGGGAGCTTTGAGAAGCTTCTCACAGGGGGCCACCACTGTAGCCCCTTGCCCTGCTACCCAAAACCCCACCACTCACTCAGACTCAGGACACATGCATATTTTGGGCAGGAGGAATGATATGACTCAATATTTGGTGTTTTGGAGAGAGCAGCAAATGCATTCTGGAATACAAATGTGACAGATGTGGAACCTCTCTCCAGAATAACATAATGTTGGTTATAACAAATCAGTCTACAAGGCAAAAAAACTAACCAAGACTAAAACACAGTCCTAAAATACTTGGACTCTTCTACGTGATTGTAACTGTACTGAAGGAAAGACGGATGAGCTCAGCTAAATATTCTGAACCTGCCATAGCTGTATTCCACCTGATGGATACAGGCTTCTCAACAGATCTCTTCCTTCGAGTACTTTTTCTGGGTCTCTTGCCTCTGGAGTGAAACTGGTTTCCACCTGCAGAATAAAGTTTCTCCAGACTTGGTTCATCGCTTCCTTTGCTCTTCCCTCATCTCCTTTGGCTGTAGCTAAAATATTTCATTTATGTCTTGTTATCTTTAATGTTTATTCTCATCTCTGAAACTGGCTTTGAGCTGTGTTTCCAAAGACTGCTGGAGCTGTAGCAGGGAAGTGAAGGAGCTGTAGTAATCCACAGATCTTGAAGACAACCAGAAAACTGCTTGGCCAGCAAATTAGTTTTGCATGAGCCCAGTACAGACCAGCAGGTGGAAGCAGTGCGAAACATGAGCCCGAAAAAGGCTCACAAATTCAGTCATAGGAAGCATTTAAAAGGCAAAGTACTCCGGGGATTACAAATATTTTTTACAACTAGAATATTATACTGTCATGTGAAAATTAATTCTAGTTATTCATACAGCCCATAATCTATGACTGTCAGTTAAAGGAGTTATCCATCTATGTACAAAGGATGAATGAAGGAAGGCCATGAGCACAGATCTATGTGAAGAGTCTTACAATGCAGCTGGGCTTCTGTGGACCAGTACAAGCATTTCCAATGAGAAAGACTCAGAAGGTTTTTCACACTCGGCAATCTGGTTAAAATGTTCAACAACTAAATTTAAACCCAGGAAAGCAGCTTTACAAACAAACCCAACAATCTCTAAAATAACGTAGCAACAATTTTTAAGTTCTACCTTATGTGCCATTACTTACTGACTTTCTTTTATGATCTACTTCTTGTGATGCTGCAATTTTGTTATAATTAAGTAAATCAAATCAACTGGCCATTTTTTTTTTCTTCCAATCAGACAACTAAGAAAAGAAAAAGCCATGATACCAACTCACATATATATATGTACATGCTATCTAATCTACAAACCATCTGAGAACAGTTGTCCTACCACTTGTGGTTTTAATAGCTGACCAAGAAGAAACTGTAAGAATACCTTTGTCTTTTCATCTAAACTGAGTGCAAACACATGCCTAACAAAGTTATTTATAATACACTTTCACTTCCAAAGATAAATTACCTCTCTCAGTGGCTGTGGACTACTGATAACAGTAGGAGTCATGACCAGGCGATTCTATTTCCATGCCTAAAACTCATCGGCTGTATAATGCTGAACACATCTCATCTGTGCATCTGATTCAGCAGTTCCAAAACAGAAATAACTGCGCGCACCCCCATATGTACCCTAGTTTACAGGAACTCATGAAAATCAATTACCATTTGAAGTGTTTCAGTACCACGAGATTAAAGTGGCTACAGAAGGAAAATACATAGAATTAAATTACTGACAGATAATTAATATTTACCTGCGCTGCCTCCCAGCCCCACTGCCTGTACTTGGGATCGTGGGTGAATCTCCACATATACCAGTAGGTCTCAATCACCTCTGGTCTTAGGATGTAATACTTCTCATTCTGCCGCACTGCTACCGCCTCTACGCCACCATCAAATTTGAATGCTTCTGGACCCAGCTTTAATGCTGCAAAGACAAAAAAAAGAGAGATAAAAAAATGCATTCCTTACCAGTGTTTGCAGAAAGGGTGGATAGGAGACTGTTATATCCCAAGCATGTGAGGAAAACAGAAACTAGCTTGTCTTTAAGCAGTCTCATAAATATTTCCTATCGCTGAGGTCTATAATTTTTCTTATGAATAATTTATCCAGTTCCTGTGAGATAACTACCTATCTTGACAGGAGTACAGTAATCCTCTTGAAAACTAACGAGCTGCTAAGAATGTAAACACAATAACATGTTCAATTATAGGATAAAACTGAAGTGACTAACATCAGTTCTTTACAAGCAAAAGAAACGAAAGATAAGGGTTAACAGAGGTTTTGATGTGCTTTGATCTCACCCAGCACACTGGGCAAAGATCTTAGAACAAAACCATCTCAATATAACCTGCATCTTCATCCAAACTCTCTTGGTTTAGGGAAGTGCTCTCAGGCCACTGTGACTGATGTGCTTCATAATGTGATCCTCAAAATAAAGGGTTTACAACTTAGCCACACCTGAAAATAAATCTCTGAACTAACAGATTCACTATTTGAGCCCTTAAAGGAAGCTGAAATGGCCCTGTGCCAGCATCCGGAAGACTATTCATATAGGAAGGAGGCATCTGTAGAAAAGCTGTCTATAATATGAAGATGCAACTACATATATATATATTTATTATACAGTCACGCATTATTCCTCAAATTTGACATAAATAATGCACTCTTATCTACAGCTGACACTAACCTTTACTTGGGCAGAGAATTTTTAAGGCGCTGAACTTTGAAGTTGCACTTGAGCTCTAAAAATTATCAAAGCAATTCAGCATGTAATTCCTATGGGCTAGAGGCTCAAATTAACCATGGTCTTATGAGTTTGAAAGGGGAACCTTAGAATATTACAACGAGAAGTATGAGCACCTCCCAGTGTGTACCTCATCAGAAAATCTCTAAAAAAAGTTCCTTAATCTTTTTATTTTAAAGGAGTACAGCTCTAGATGCCAACAGAAAAAAGCACCACATTCTGCTTCAGCCACACGTGTGGTAAGGAAAACTCCATCTAGAAATGCTTATGATACTTCTATCAAAATGGGTCAATTTTACCAGTTGCAGTAAAAAAATTTACAAATTTTACTGCAAAATCAATGAGATTAGATACAGAGTTCTACCTATCCAAAATTAAGAAGGTAAGAATGGCCATACTGGACCAGATGGAAGTTCTGTCTGGTCCAGTATCATGTCTGCAACAACGGCCAAAATCAGAGAGGAATGGGGAAGAGGAAGAACAGGCCAAGTATATGAGATACCTTTTGGCAGCTCCTCTACCAGTCTCCAATTATTTTGAGCTCAAGGCTTCTCACAAACTAGACATATATTTTAAGGGGTCAGAAACTCAATAGATTTATTTCCCAAGTACTTTACGTGGTGTTTCCTTAAACCTGTGTAAGCCTTAGGCATCCAAAACAACCTCTGCTAAGGAGTTCCACATCTCTAACACTTCTTTGGTGTAGAATCATTTTTTTTTGTTCTTTTCTGTTTTCAGCTTGGCTCCTACTAGACTCATTCAGTAGTCTCTACACCTTGTCTTGGAGAAGAGAGCGAACAACGGATTGCTATATACCCTCTCCAGTGCCCTGGTGATTTTACAAATCTGTTGTATCCTACCTACAATGTCCCTTTTCCACACTGAAGAGTATTATTCAAGTTGGCTGTTCATCTGCGACTCTTCCAATTCTACTATATCCTTTCTGAAATGAGAGGACCAGCCTGAACACAGCACTGAAAGTGTGGACAAGATTAATACAGTGACATAATGACATCTTCTCTTTTGCCCTTTCTCACTTAGTTTTTCCTGACTGCTACTGAGCTGATATTTTCATAACCTCAAGAGCAATTTCCTGAGTCATAACGATCAGTTAAGAGCTCATCACTTTGTATGTGAGGTTAGGAGTAAACTTTTCATAGGTGCACTTTATATTCAACTATGCTAAATTTAATTTAGTGATTTGTTATGAAATTACTCAACCTCATAAGATATAACTTTTCAGCTTGCTTTCATCCATGTTATCTCAAATAGCTTTTTTTTTTTGTTATTATCAGCATACTTACCTTACTGTTACTGCCCTTTTCCTGATCATTTAGGTATGTGTATAGATGTATGTATAGATACAAAAATAGGTATTTTATATTCTTATATATAGATATATATTTTATCTATCTATAGATAAAAATATATGCATATATTAAAATATAAACTGTAAATACACTATACATTTATACACATCTATACAGGTATGTGTATAAATAGATATCAAAGCACCACTGGTTAACTACCATTCGTCTGCAAGAGCTATTTCCCTCTACCCTATTTGCTATACTACAACCATTTCTTTTCTCTATGCAGGTACTTGCAGTTAACGCAGTAACTGTTTAGTAACCTTAAGGAGCTTTAGTAGAGAACTTTTGAAAAAGCGTTTTGGAAACCAGGTAAACCATATCAGTACTCCACCAAAGCAGCTGGGTTTCAGACAGTTCTGGTGAGGCATCTCCTACAGAAACCGTGACAACTTCTCTTGCTTTGTAGCTTGCTGGTACATTAACTCTTCACTTATTTACTCATATCTACTTCTAACATTATTGGGCACACCAAGAAATTATACCACCCAAGGATGGATGACCCCTGCGTATTGTGACAATCTCACAGAATTTTTATCCCAAACCAAGGATGTAAAATGAATCACAGCACTTCTACTAAAGTAAAGAAGCTGACTGAAGAAGCTACTATGAACACAGCACATTTCAGGGGAGCCTTCCTCTGAGCAAATAACCATCCAAGGCCATTTCACAATGCTATAGTGGTCGCACTTTAATCCATATTTTTTAGTATTAATGGGGCTGATAGGCTATAGTCTAGGCAGGGAGACCAGATGAGAAACAATTTCACATCATCACACAAAATTGCAAAGCTAAACCAGTACCTTTTTAAAAGATATTTCAACTGACTGATAGCTAACTTCTGTGAGAGCTATACTTAGCACTGCTGAAAATAAGAGCAAATCCTCAGACTTCCAGATAAGTATTCATACATCTAATTTTAGAAATTATTTTGAAAACATTGCTTAATTTTTTGGGTGTTCCTTTAAGATTACAGTCAATCTAGCAATGCATTTTCTGAAATAAAAAAGGATTCGTAATTATAATAATGCTTTCTAGGCTTTAACCCATAAAAAATTTGAGGATGAGAACCTCTAAGGTACTTTTGCTTGAGACTCTCTGAACCATTCCATCAATATACATTGTTATTTCATACTTCTAATGAAAGCAAGTAATTATTCTTGTTTCTTCATCTTTGCCTGTTTAGCTGCTGAGAAATCTTAGTCCTCTGGCTTATTCTGCATTGGAATTAATGTCACGTGTATAAAACCAGCTAAAGGTGTATCCAGATTCTGGTGACAGTTCTTGTCAAGAAACTTTGAAGATGTACCAAAAACTTCATCCTAAAATAATCTGTCTGTAGTCAGTCAATACTTTTCATACTACCAGCTAACGGTTGCGAAAATTCTTATGTATAAGGGATGGTATATTTTACTAAAAGTTTTGTGTGCTATAAATCTGCTCATGCTGCCATCTATATAGATAATTTTGCTTATTAATCTAACCTCTGCAATACCTATGAAAGCTAATTATTCAGACTGATTTGTTAGTGGTCTTTTTATTCTTTCCATTTCATTGGACTTTTTTTTTTTTTTTTTTACCATTTATGGATTTTGCATTACCAGTTATTTTATGCATTTGCCACGTTTCTCAGCAGTGTATGTTAAGCATGTAAAACAAAGAACTAATGCCCAGTAACTGGAATACCTCAAGATGTGCAGTCCACACACGTGCTTAAATGTTGAGAAACCTTGCATCAGAAGCATGTGAAGCGATATTGTTTTAGGCTTACCAGTGCCCCCTGACAGCTCTGCGATTCCTTGTGCTGTGCCGGTACATGGGCATACAGATCAGAGCATGCCTTCTACCTTTTGTTCTCTCGATCTTCTCTCCAAATCGGAAGCACACTGGGCTACAGAAAATTACTGAATTCTGTCATAGGATGGGAGATTTAGGATGACTGCAGCAATAACCTATCAATAGGGTATGGTACAGAAAAAAAAACAGAGTAGGGAGGAGGCAGACACATGTGCTAATTACACATCACAAGACAATTCTAGTTACAGTCAAGTTTTCTGACTTTGACCATCCGCAAGCCTTCTCAAGTCCATGGTGTTTCCAAGAGGTGCCACATGCATTCACAAGTTCCTGAAGAGAGGACATTTTCATGCTGGCAAGTTCAATGGATCCTGGAAACACAAATCCCTTGCTCAGAGGCAGATCAGAATTACCCCTGTACCCTTTGCCTTCACCTTCCAAAGACCATCAGCTTCCTCCAGCTGGTGAATTAGAAAGGCATCCTAGATCTAGACTGATACTCAGCTTAAGCAGAACCTGCAGAGATTTTCACAGAGCCATGGCAAGGGCCTAAGCTTCTCAGGATATCCCCAGTCACTTCTCTAGCCTACAGCTCAGGAGTGTGAGGTCTTCTCTTGGATATTCCTGGAGAACATCGACAGGTGAATCAGATTATCAGAGAGACTGTGACCCTGAATAAACCTCTCACTGATTACACGGCAGTGATGCCAGTTGTCACTGGGACATAATGCACATGGAAATGCACCAGGAATGGTTGCAAGGACTTTCCAACTCCTCTGTACTGATCAGCACCATGGAGCAGACAGCATCGTGAGAGATGAAAAGGGCAACTCAAGTGCTGACAGAATGCAGTCTGGTGGGAAAGGAAACACAAACGAAACAGCAACATCCACAAGGATTAAGGCAAAATTTGTAACAAGCCAGAAATGAGAAGGCTGTCACATGTAGACAGACCACTTTACATTTGGACAGTGAGACTTGTGCCTGATGTAAGAAAAAATGTGTATAGGATAGCAAAATTTTCTCAGGGGGTAAGCCTGGAAGACTCGCTCCCAAAGAACAGCAGGGTGTCAACTCAGTTTCACTGTCCAAAGCTAAAACGCCCCAAACTAACCAGGAGGGAATCATTAACATGCTTTTAATTATTCAGTCACTTGGGTAACAAAAGCAGGTAATTTCATCCAAGTTGGGTTCTTGTGATGGCCAGGTACCTTATGAAAAAACCTCAGATCTCTACAGAAGTCAAGCAACTGACTTCTGAACTGGAACGGGTCTGTTTCTACCACAAGACATGCTTCCTGTTACCTGTTTTGACTGAGATGTAGAATGAGGTATCCTTGAATTCAAGAGACAAAGCCCTTCTCTCTGTAGAGCTGGGATGATCTCCTCCCCCAGCATCTACACTGAGCTTATTTATGAACACATGCAGTCCTCGTAAGTCCTAAAACGGGGTCTCATCCTCCCTCCACATCTGCCTCTCTGAAAAGATTCTTCATCTTAGCATTGATTAATCCTGACTAGAGCAGCAGCAATGATAATCGTGTTAGGTAATGAGGAAGGAACTGAGTCATGTGAGCTGAGATCGAGTACCTGTGCTTGACCCAGCAAGACACGTAGGTGCAACAGGCTGTGGGCTCTCTAAGGTAGCTTCACATATCTGAGGGTGGTCTCTCTTATATGCTGGGAGGTGTGGCATGGTGTCATGCCAGCAACAATCAATCCAAAAGGTGATGGTGTGCTTTAACTTGTGCCACGCTTTCAATCAAGTTAAATGTATCTAAAAGCTTCAGCAAGCCCCAGTGATGCACTGTGAGCATCTGAAAAACCTGCAATGGACCGCTGATAACACATTCCAGGGGACTAGGGGATACCCAGAATGTCAGTGGGAAGTGCTCATTACAAGGCTAAGGCACGTAAGTCAGTCTGTGACATTACCGTGCAAATCTGTGACCACATGGCAACTTTTACTGGTTATATGGCAAAGAGATTGCTGTTGCCAAATTGGAAAGAAAGGATGGACAGCAGAGGATATTTCTTCCACTAGTAAAGAGGTGAAAAAGCAGGATGTTTTTATATCTGCAGGGTGGTCCTCCATCCTGCCCAAATGATTACTGGCAAAACACATGTTTTCATCATGTGTCTGGGGGACCTAAAAGAAGTATTCGAGTTAGGGAATGGGTTAGAATATGTTTGGGAGCACAGTAACCCAGCTAGGCTTGTATGGCATTCCTGAACGCAATCTGCTCCTCCACCTGTCAGCTGGCAGAAGAGGGTGTAACAGCCTGCTGCGGGAATGGCTCCTAAACACCATGAAGGTCTACTGCTGAGAGCACCAACTGGACGGCAACAGGCTGCTCAACATCGAGGAGTAGATGAGAAAGTGAAGAAGGATTCGTAATGGCCTAAGACCTCAAGGGTTTCAGAAGCCATCAACAGAAGCAAATGCAGCCAAGGGACCACAGAGACCATCTTAGAAGTTATGAGAGTCTGGACAATCATAACTCAGCACGTGACTTCTCACATCAGCTGTGATTAACTTCAGTCCCAAAGGCAAGTCAATGAAGAAAAGAGGCAAACAGACAAGAACAAGTGAAAGGGCTGTATTAACTTGACAAAAGAAGTAAAGCCTTGTTTTGTTAAAGAAGGCTGAAGTCACCACAAATACTCAGCTTTATAGAGGGTGATCGAGTTTGTCTGAAGGCATAGGGTAATATATCGGAGAGGAAAGTGACCTGAGAGGATATTGCCTTTAAAAAATCCTAATACATCAAGAACCTCCAGCCACAAATGTCATGGCAGAAAATCACCTCAATGCTAAAAAGGCATGTTGACTGTCACTGCAAGACAAGAGTATTTTACTTATTATCACACAGGTAAAACCTGTCCAGATCAAAGTTACTCCAACGGAATTTATCTGAAAACCCGGAAGTCCCGGACCCTAAATAATGTGTCATGTCACCATGTTTATTTATTTATGCAAGACATGGAAAGCATGATTTCAAACCAGAATTTCAGGAGATGGTATTCCATTATTTATACAACAACCTTATTGTAAAGACAGTAGAAAATATAGAATTTAATTTGCCTGAAGCTTTCTGAAATATCTTTTTTTTTTTTTTTTAAACAGGCTTTCATATCTACAATATGTGCAACAGGTAGCTGACAGCTGGCAATATAATGCCCTGCTTTTACTCTGTGAAATTTTGTTCTGATTTTTCTGAGACTGGGCCTTGAAATGACATTTTTTTTTTCCTCTCATGATCAGCCCTTATGGAAATTTAGGTTGCTTCATAAAGTAGTATTTTTCTACTAAAATGTTATAAAACCAGGCATATAGTGCAGTTTGTTATAAGCAACCATGGGAAGACACAGTAAAGGATAGCTCTGGTTGGTTTATCTGAAGAAAAGAGCCCTCTATCCTCAGCACCTTGCTGTCTCCTCTGGGGACACCAAATGGGGCAAGAGTTCTCCCAAGTCTACAGGAGAAAGAGATCAGGCTCTCCTCTTTACTGACTGAGATATACACCTATCAGCTGAACCAGGAGGACTGTCTGCCTTCTGAAAGGGAGTTTTTTCCTGCAAGCAGCTAATTCTGTCATTAAAGTGTACAATTATGTCTCAAATTCTGCTGTTAAAGCATAATGAAGTTGACATTTTGCATGTAGCAGTTCTTTATTTTCTTTGAAAAATCAGTCCAGGCTGGAAAAAAAAAAAAAAAAAAAAAAAAAAGGCAAATAAAAAAATCCACATTCCTGAGATTGCATGACCAAACAAAAGAAAACTAGGGCATTGCAAATTTCTAGCTCTCTGTACAACTTTCAGTTTGTTTCTTCCATGTGCGTGTTCTTATAGTCATTAAATATGTAACCAAAACTTTTATTCCCCCATCTTTTGACTTATTTAGGGTACAGAATCAACATCTGAAGGAATAAAAATAGGACTGCACAAACAACTATAAATTTAGCATTGCTTAATTTTAAGGAATTAAACATTTAAATGCATTTTTTTTTCAGAATGCAACAATAGCTACTATGTCCTACCTTTTCCCTTAAGCATCCTCATATTTTTTCCTTTTTTTTTTTAATGCTGTTGCTACCCAGGTAAAAGTATCACTTATGTGACCGAATTTTTTAAAATGACAGGCAATTATACAATGATACTATGTAATCCTGTGAATAGATACATGCATTCTCATCTTAAAACTGTCCAAGATTCAGTTGCCGTTACTTGTACCTGGAAGTTATTTCAGAAGCTCACTTCTATGATGGCTACACAAAGCTATTTTCAATTTCCAACCTACATATATTCACTGCGAGCTTACAAATCTCGCTCTTGGTACAACTATGTTGTTTATAACTTAAAATAACTCTATTTCTTCTCAGTGTTTACCCCTTGAGATGACAACAGATTTATTCCCTTCTTCGGCATTATTTTTCTAGTTTGAGCAGGCCAACCTATTTTCCCACTGTAAGATAAAAGCTTTGTTGCTCTAATCATTCCATTGGTCCTTCTCTGCATTTGTTCTGCTTGAAATTCAGATTTGTACAGAGTATTCTGGGTGACAAATTATACCTGTCTCCTAAGGCAGTGTTGATATTCTCTAAAATTCTTCACCTGATACAGACTAAGGCTGCACTGGCATTTTTCAACTCCCAGTTTAGAGAAAGAGCTCCCGGGTTTTTCTTGGTGAACTTCTTATTTCTGACAGCCCAGTCCTCAAGATCTTCCATTTTATTATTATGAGACCCTTGTGTTTTAATCGTGTCTTACGACATTTCGGCCACTGTAAGTGTAAATCAGCACACTTCAACTGTATGCATCAAGGTCACTATTAAAGATGTAAATAAACCTGGTCCAAAAGACAACTTGAGAAACTTCCAGCCCAGCAGCGTAGGCTGATATCGTCTCCCCACTACACAGTTTGCATACTAATCTTCATCCTCTCTAGTTTAATTGTACTTACCCAGAATATACTGCTACTAAAACCAGCAAGAGGTGTAGTTACGAATTTTTCACTCTACATAACTGTAAGAACAGTATATATGAAATTAGAAACTGCCTTATATACCTGGGAGGACAAGAGTTCACACACACTCCTTCCTCCCTGCACCCATATAACCTACCTCAGCCATCTGATCCAAAAATAGGGATAAACGTGCAAGAAGGAACCATATAGAGTCTGGTCTTACATTTACTCACCATGATGCAGATCAGAAGTAAATACATGGATGTTAAAAAAATTATACTGGTATAAAAACAGTGCATGTTAGACAAGGCATAGGTCCATCACAAATCTTAAAAATAATTACAACAATTTCTGTATTTCAACTACCAAAACAACTAGATTAGCAATTTATCTTACTTGTCCTGTCATATGACTCATGACACGTGTGTGCAATTTCAGCTCCAAGTTGCAAATAATGTCCAGCTTTATCATCTCTGGAACCATCTGCTCCAAGGGCAAACATTCCCCCTGCAAAACAGGTCAAATGGCCCATCTTTCTTTCAAGGTGCCCGTTCTTCCACTCCCCAATGAAGGTCAGTCCACCATTGGACTTTCTGATGAGATGTTTTTCTATGGCCTACAAGAAGATTAAGAGAACTTTCAAACACTGTTTTGCACATGCAAGTTTTACATACTAACTCTCCTTCGTAGAATAATGTTTTCAAAACAAAAATAATTTTTTTCTTTTAAATTTACTTCTGAGCACTAAGCAGCTATAAGAATATGATTTCAATGCACACAAAAAAATATCCTAACAGCTAAACAATGATAATGAGATCAAACATTGGAAAGTCATGACATAAATAAGAATTGCACTTTTAGCTGAGAATTCAGCACATATTTTATGGCTCAAACAATGTTTGTCTACCTGTTAACTCTGAGAAGTACCTATTTGTTCTGCTGTACAGTCTGTGCGTGCTCAAAAAATACATCCACATTGGAAACTTTTGGCCAGCACCATATGTAAAGGCAGCACAGGTACTCTCAGTCAGTCTTTAATAGGAAGTGACAAGAATGCTCCAGCCACCTTCTAGCTGCTTGTCCATATCAGCTTTCTGATTGCACGTAGTCAAAGGATGGGTGAGGGTTAGAGCAGCTGTTCACAAAAAAAATTAATATTTTATAGGTGGGGCAACTGCTACCTTATCTTTGAGCAGTTGTACCAATATTGTTGCTTGTGACTTGTAAATGGTATTCTTCTGGTAGTAGGAAGGAGAATAGCTGACTTGATTTGTCAAAGTTTGCAAACTACACGGAACAACACATTTACTTAAGCCTCTTCCAGAGAGGTTCACAACCCCCACCAATCTACTGCAGTATCTCTTATCTTTAGCATTAGACAGTATTTCTAGCAATTAGAATCTCTTTGATATAGACTTTGAGTCCTATAATAATAAAGACCATGAAGACATTCTTCCTATATTCTTTCCAGAAATCTCCTTTGTACTTCCACACATAACCATCTGATGGGTTCACAACTTCCATCAAAGTGCACGACTTGTGACTGGTCAGAGTACGCCAAGGCTCAGTAGAGTTGAAGGATTAAGTGCCATTAAAAAGGCATTTACTACACTCCTTGACATCCACAAGATCTATTACAGAAGTGAATCAATACACCTGTCCAATGCTTTTCTGCAACAAATGACACCCCAAATGTCCACAACTGTATTTTGCACTAAAACTTTACTGAGAACATACAGGCAGATCATCCTGCATATAACTAAAGTGGTTATCGTGGATGTGGAGGTCATGCCTGCTGCACACAGTTGTCTCCTTGATACCTGCACAGTGCAAACTATGCAGTTCACAACAATACAGATCCAAGCAATAAATACCTAGATTAATCAGCCTGAAACTTGTCATTCAGATTTAAAAGTGGACAGTGAAATAGCTTTTCCCTCTAAATATAAAAAGTGAGACTGTCTTTTGTTTTCAGCAAAATAGACAAACAAAAAGTCTCAAGATCTTCTATGGCATTTCAACTTTTTTTTTTTTTTCTTTTTAAGCAGATGCTTAAGTGATACAGGAGCATTAAAGCAGCTGTATTGAACCCAGCAATATTTGATAACATGGAAGTCCTCCATCCAGGTACTGAAATAACATCTGACAGCCTTCCAAAGTTTTCTTCAACAAAAAACTTTTCTATAATAAAGTTATTGAAATTACAGTTAGAAGAGGCAGAATTTGTAGGATTAGGAGCCTCAACTGGGGAAGACAATATAAACAGTAATCTGAAACAGTAGCGTTTCTGCAGATGGATGTGGTTTTGTATGGTTTTCTGGACATGTTCTTAACTTGAGACGCTGCAGTGCTTGCAGCTACTTTCCTGAATGGTTACAGTGATGTGAATCTATGCCTCAGCCATGTAGCCAGTGAAAATCTGGCAGTTCCCATATGGCCAAGGTAAATGTACTACCTAAAAGGCAGTGCAGAGGATCACAGGGAGAGGGCTGCATTATCCTCAGTAGGGCCCTGCTCCTGACTTGAACTGTGGACCAAGTCATCATTTGGAAGGTGAAATTTCTCCACTGTCCTCTATTGAGCTTGTGTGTTCTGAAGGTTATGAAAGAGAAGTGCTGGTCTGCATTCCTGTTGGGTTTATTTCTTCACTAATGCCACTAATAGATGTGGAGTTGGTGCTTATGGCAGAATCCAGTGAGAAGAACACAGAAATAACCGACAGAGCAGAAACTATTAAGTCTCTGACAGCTGCCAAAGTGACTGTCTAACAATCATGCAAATTGGCATTGAGGACTGGCGTGACACTGTGGCTTCTGCTGCTAGGGAGCCTGATGTGGTTAACTGTACAAGCCTCATTTTTTCTGAAAGTACTCATGCAGAAAAGATTGGATCTGCTGAAAATTCTGCCAGTAGAGATGATACTAAGATCTGTTGCATTAGCTCTGTTGACTCAATTATCCTAGAGCGGGACAAAACAGACATTATGATAATTACTGGATTTTTTTGTCCATGTGGTCCATAAAAGTTGAGGAGTCGTTTTACTATGAAAAACCACTTTTAGCATGAAGAGCAAGAAGGTTTAAAAGGGTTTAAGCTTGTTTCCCGGAGGAAAACACTTTCTTCCAAATGTTGTGTGAAATTCGTTTTGAATTGTATCTTCTTGGAATTTCATAGCTGTTGAGGAATAAATGGTTGCAGGAGCATTTCCAGGGGGGACGAAATCGCTGTGGTTGGCACCAGGAGAGCCAGCAAAGGCCAAACTTATACGCTTCTCCATGAGCCGCTCCTCCACTCTAGACTTGCTTTCAGAATTTGACTGAAGAACATCATCGAGGTTCAGTGTGCCCCTATTCAGAACACATCTTCTGAACTTGAGCATCACCGTCTTGTATAAGGGGTAGTTTTTGAAATCTGAAAATCAAGTTCTGTCAGCTACTTAATTATTAAGTTACATGTTAGAAGTCACAAAGGAAGCATCGCCAAGAATAAAATAAATGCAACCCTCTCAAAATACTTTATCGTTCAACAACCCACTGCTTGCTGACTGTATAAAAAGGACAATTAATGTTCACAGTAATTAATAAGGAACAATTGGGGGTGCTGGGAGCACTGCCTAGTGGACAGGACAAGCTTGAGCAGGTTGGGACAGATGTGGCATCTGTATCCTCAGCTGGATGCCTGGGGCCACTCCAGTAAGTACTGCAAAGCAAAGACATCCAGCTGGACCATGAGGAGTGTACATGCACTAGAGTGGACACGAATAATTAAGCTCCCAAAGAAAAGGCTTAGTTCACATCAATTAAGAGTTTAACTGATGGAAGAAGCTTCTTTAGTCAGTGAAATGCCTGAAACAACAGACTGGGATGTGTAAACAGAATGTCCTCTATGTGATGTTCACGCTTTATGTGATTTTTATGACTACAAAACCCAGCATTTTCTGAGCTGTCTTGCAGCAGTACTTGCTGTGTTGTGATAGTCAAACACACTGCTGAATCCTTCTTCTAGGTATCTAATGTTGTGCAATAAGAAAGAGCGAGGATCAAATTTGTGAGCCTAGCAGATTAGACTACTCAAGGCAACAGATCAGAAGGAAGCTTCCCTATCCTCCAGCTGATGTGAGAAGAAAAGACACTTTAAACCAGTCTAGCTGGGAGGGCCACATGATGATGTTGAAAGCAAAGTTGAGAGGCCCATCCCCAACATTTATTGCCACAAAAAGTTCTCAACAGCTTTACAATTTCAGTAAACTTCTACCCCAGTTTTTAGTTTACAGACTAGGACATTGAAATTAAGTGTCCTTTACAGTGGAAGACTGCACTAATGTTATCTAGCATGAAGAGGTCACAGATACAGAACCTGTTCGTGCTCTTTGTTATGAAGTATGTGGTGACCTGGGTAAGGCTCCATATGTCATGGATTGGAAATCATGACATCTGAAGAACAGATGCTGTCATCTTTCTTCCTCTTAATACCTCCAAGGAATGGGATAGCACTGCCTACTGCCAGACTTGATAGTGAGGGTATGGCTGTCCATCTTCTGCTCTCACCCCTGTAATAAGCCAAAGGAGTCAACTGTGGTTGGACAGAGACCTTCTTTTAGACTGGTGGGTGCTGAGAACATTTCCAACTCTGTGCTATGAGTGGGAAGAATGTATTTTACATCCTTCCCTTTCTGCTTGCATACATGACGTAAAGAGCTTTTGCTCCAAGTTTTAAGAAACAAAGAGTAAGAAGTTTCAGCTATGGAGGAAGACCTATGTTATCGGCAACTACAAATTAATGGTAAAGGAATGGGTTCTTAAAACTGTTTTAAGTTTTTAAATAAAAATTCAAATTGCAATTACGTGAAACAAATCCTACTCACTGACTCTTTGCCCGTGTCTTTCAATGTCAAGTAGGACTGGGATAAACACAAACCCTGAATCAGAAGAATGTTCCACAATGCATAAACCAGTATGGTTCATGCAAATTCAAATGTACATGGGTAGGTTTAGCTGAGAGAAAGCCAAAGAGAAAATCATCTGATGCTTGCACTGCAGGTCGTATCACACACGAAGCGGGTGCTGCTCAGCTCGCTCTCCCTCCTGTCCACAGTGTGATTCCATCTGGTCCAAAACTTGCTTCACCGTGTCTCCATGCAGAGACACAGATTTGCCCATACAAAATGTTTGCATGACTGGGCTTACAGTGGAGAGAGTGAAAGAGAAAGTTTATTTCCTCTAAAGTGCTCACAGATTAAAATATAGTAAATGAGAATAAAATATTTCAACAGTAACCAGAATAGATGTTAAACATCAACAGTTAACCATTTTTAAACCCACATGACCCAATAAACTGTATTTTAGGCTATCAAAAGCACTCAACTAATGTACTGAACTACTCGTGCTGACTTTAACAAACTCTGGAAAGCTAAGGAAGTTCAAAGGGACTGACTGGGAAACAGCTGATGCTTTAACAGTATTTTAAAAAGTTAACAATCATATAAAATGAATTATGTGGTTTCAAAAATAAATTTTTGACAAAAGCATGCTGATATTAGGAATATCAGGAATTTCAGGATTTTCCTTGGTATTGTACAAAATATTAGTCCTGAACAAATTCAAGGCACATATGAAGTGGATTAGACGTTGGCTTGCTAGAACAACTCAAAGTAAACAAAAGATTGTGAAAAATCCTCATCCCATGAAGATTCTTGTAAAGATACTTTTATTCGATGCTAGGCAGCGTTTCTACCAATGATCTGCAAAAAACAAATGCTAAAAAAAATTTGCAGATGAAAAAAATTGATAGAGCTATAGATAGTTATAAAGGAAAAGTCAGTCCTGTAAAGTCATAGAATCATAGAATTGTTCAGGTTGGAAAAGTCCTTTAAGATCACCAAGTCCAACTACTAAATCATTCAGAACAGGTAACAAAATAGGTTTTGCCTGAACAGTTGTGTTTTAATAGAGATAAGTATAAGGTCACCCACTGAAGAATCGGGAATGTAAATTGCAATAGTAGCAAAGCAGTAAATCAAAAAGACTATAACCAACTTCAGAGTAAAACCAACTGGAAAGTGCATGACAGTGTGAGGCAAAGGTTAAGAGTGCAAACACAGCTCTTGGCTGGATGAAGAGGAGAACACTTAGGAGAAATCAGGCGAAGACATATTAGAAGAATCATTAGATTCTTGTCTCCATACTGAAGACACTGAGAAGTACCTAGAAAACAGCTTAAGAAATAATTACAAAACTGTTTTATATTGTGAGACTCAAGAAAATAATGCATTTCATCTTCAGGAGAAAATGCCTACTGTACCTTTGTTAGTAACCAGCTACATGATGCAGATAACTCTTTAAAAAAATGTAGGGAAGGAAAAAGTTCAAGAAGTTCAAGTAGCTGAAAGCCAAATGTAATCACATTCAGGTCAGGAGTAAGACAGATTACAGCTTCAAAGCAATTTTGGACTAGAACTTTCACTGTATCGCTTCTAAAATGTGAATCTGGAGAACTCCAAGAACAGGCATTTTGTTGAAAGAAACACAGCATGCACAGAACATGGGCCAAGTTAGGCACCAAGCGCTATCTGCACCTGGCCAAGCCTACACAGGCACTGCTGCTGTTGGTACCACAGCTAGCTTGACTAAAACTGGATTAGGTACTCTCTACATGTCTTAACTGTAGCCCAGGCACGTTGGCACATAGGGGCACAAGCAGACCTGAGGAAAGATGACTTTGTATGGGGAAACTCAGAAGGTAAGAGCTGGGCAGCATAAAGGCCCCCACCCCAAATCCCACTTAACCATGCTGCAGTACTGCCCTGCCTGGGCTGTGAGAGGGAGCAAGGCCAAATCACAAAAGAACCATAGAGGAAGGAACAGGTATGAACTACATTTTACAAGACAAAGATGGAATAAAACATCTAAATGTTTTAGAAAATTAAGAATAAAACAATTCAGGATTTCAACTCCTAGACTGATTCTGAACACTGGAGAAAAGTGACTCGGTCATTCTGCACACATCTTAGGGTTGTTGGGTCTCTCTCTAATAAACTATAGCTCAGGTTTTTGCTTTATACCATTTGGACTAGCTGATCACTTTGAGCACAATAATCTGCAGCAGATGTATTCCACAATAATGCTTTTTAAACTACTCAGAGTGAAAGCTAGCATTATTCATCACTTGATTTCTTAATACTTACACAAACAAAACAAGTCCTGTTGGGTTTTTTTGATTTTGTGCTTATTTGTTGCTGGTGGTGGTGATTTTTGTATTTTGAGGGGGGGTGTGTGTTGTTGGTTTGTTTGTTTGTTCGTTTGTTTTGAAGTATTAAAGACGGTTTTAAAATTCCACTGTATTGGAAAACTCAATTAATTATAATCACCTCAATTGCATCGTCGTACATTTTCCTTGCCTCCGTGTCCATCTTGTCTGACATAAGCCAGGCTTTCAATAAATATTCATAAAAACTGTCTCCCAGCCCGCCCACGGATGTGTGATCTGTAGGAGGGAAAAAGGAAAAAAAAAAAAAAGTTGAAGTTATTATATAATAGCACCTTAAATTTATTCAAAATATGAACTTACGTTTTTAAGGTCTACTGTTGTAGAATTATCAATATTTTAAAGCCTGTTTAGCAGGACAAAGCTGCACTGTATGCCCTGTCCCCTCTGAACTTACTTCATAGGTGTGGAACCTGCTGTATGCGTTCACGTCTTGTCATTCTGCACAGGCTATCCCTCACGTCAAAACTAATTTAACATCTGTTTCTACTTCATTCCACAGAACCTAATTGTTTTCCTGCTAGGGTTTGGGCGGGATTTATTTTTTTTATATATATATATATATATATATATATATGTAAAAAGTATATACAATAAAACCCTGTAAGATCTCTGTATCCAGGCTACAACCAGGTCATGTGGCTGGCTATGAACTGCCATGAACTACAACAGAATCCAATCTTTCCAGGAGATTTTTATTTCCAGCAAGGTAGTTACTTAACAAACTAATGAATTTCTCAAAATTAATGTTCTTATTTAAATTATTTCAGTCAGAAAGGGGGCCAATTGCCTTTGTAGTATACAACACAAGCCCTGCTCTGTTCCACCGTGCCTGAGCAGCCATGCGGAGCCACTCCACGTGCCACAGGGTAAGGCTGTTTGACTGTTAGAACCCACCATCACATAAACTGGACCTCCTAAAATGCAGATTATTTTTTTTTTTTTGTCACTTTTTTTTTTTTTTTCTTGCAGAGGTTGTCTTTCACATGTAGAGTCATCGCTATTTCGTGCTGACAGACCACATGAGAACTACCTACGTTTCTCTTTGGGTGAACTATTATGCATCCCCACAAAAAGCCTACTGATGGTCCGACTCAGTCTCAAAGCTCCTGTTCCAATCACGGTAAGCGCTCCCTCAGTACACTCGTCATTCAAAAAGCAGTATACTCTATGAGATTTGGTACGTGGCTCCAATCAGAACAGCACATAACCTGTTCTTTCCCAATACTGCAGCTCCCCAGATGCTGCCACCAGAGCAGCCTTAGTCTGCTGAAGTTAGGAGAAAGAAATGCTAAAGACCAACTTTGTCACAATGCCAGAAATTCACTGCCCTAAGCTGTTACAGTCATACAAGTTTGCTTTTAACAGGTGAAAAAAAGAAAAGACATGATACTTCCTTTTCCAAAGTACCTCGAAAAAGTGGTATTATTCACAGTCTTTCTGGGATAAAGGTGTAAAAGAGAGGTTAGAGCTCTCCTTCTGTTCCTTTTTCCTCCAAGCACCATCCTGCCCCAGCATGTCTGCTTGTCTCTGAAGATGAGAGTAGGAGGTTAGAGCTGGTAGATGCTCCTGTCCTAACTCTTCTAGCTGTCTCTTGACTCCTCTGCTACTTACCAATGGATTTCTATACAAAGGAAGGAACAAGTGGAAAGCCTGTAGCTTTCCCATTTGTTTTCAGGTTGTGAATTTGGAGCGAATTACCTAATGCCCTTCTCTTCTACCTCAGTATCTCCTAGACAGCCTTTTCACACCCAGCTACTCAGTGATTTAACTACAGATAATGAGTTTTCGTAAGCTTTGTAGCTCTGAGCTGTAAGAGGGCATTCAGGTCACAAGTCACTTTCTTACACAAATGTAAGGGCTAGAAATTACTCCTTCAACACACAATTACATTCACATGTAGACATAAGAACTAAGGGTCTACAGTTTTCCGAAAAAAATCAACCATCCCAAGACTTCAGAGTTACGACTCATGTCAGCACCACTCATGGACTGTCTTCACAAGAGAGACGGTTTAAAACTACTTCTGTTAAGCTGCTGCCTCCTCCCCAGCTGGGCTCTGTCACTTGAGTCAGTGCTGCTCTTCTGCCAGATTTCTTTCACAGCTGCACTCAGTCCCCAACCAGGACAGGGTTGCCGAACCCTCAGCAGGGTTCATCTCATAGCGGCTCCACCTGGGCTTGGGGCAGGAAAGAGCAGGAAGATGAGTGGAAAAGACTTCCTAAGCAGAGAAATCCACGGTCCAGGTGAGTTTCCAAAGTCAGTTATCAGAAACACGTCCCATTTCACATCTACTTCTTCAGGCAGTCATTTGAGAACTGCGTTTCTCTCCTGTCAGCAGCTCTTCTCCTCCTCCACATTGCTTCTTGTCTTAGATGAAGCTACAGGGAGTGCAGGAACCAGTAGCATTGGGACACACAGAACTCTGAGCCATCCCCTCGACAGCCTTTTTTGCACCTTCTTCATGGATTCAGAGAACAGAGCTGCGCAAGCCTCTCACACACAGATCCTCCTCCCACTCAGCAAGTAAGAAGCAAACATGGCTAAGGCTCAGGGCTTCAGAGGGCCTTGCAGCTCCCAGCACCAGTGTCTTCTTTATTCCCATTTTGCGTACCTCACTCCCAACTCTCAACTCCTAGGAGTTTTCAGGGCTCCTCTCTCATTAAACAGTGGACTCCTCCACTCCCCAGCTGATGCCTTTCACAGTTGGACCAGAGGGCAGACCTGTCAAGAAAGGGCAAACTGATTCTGTTCCTTCTCCTCAGTAGCAGGAAAAGGGACAGATGAAGTATTTTTGGTGGTCACACATGGTAAGACACCACAGACAGGTATCTTTCATACAGAAGGGAAGCAGTATTTCAAGGGAGCTGACTGCATTCAGATACAGCTGTCTTTATTTTCCTGATCTGTCCCCATCTGCAAAAAATAGCTGAAAGAGGGTGGAAGTGAAAAGGAGTCCACCGCAGCCGCGGAACTGAGGTTTAAGCATGGCAAGTTTTCCAACTTCTACTGCTGCATTAACTGCACCCTGGCAAGATCTTCTTCAGGTCTTCTGAGAGGGTCAGAAGGTGTTGCTAAAGCAGAATTTGTTGCATTCTGTGTAAGGACTATAACTAGAAATGACTGAAAATGAAAACACTTGTGACAGATTGCGGGACTTTGACAACTTGCTCTCACCTAGAGTGGAAATACTAAAGAAGTATTTTTCAAGATTTCTTAGCAAATATATAGCTGGTGAAAACTGCAGATCTGTGTCATCACATATGATTCTCTCCTACAAACAAAGCTCCCTACCCAAACTTATCATCAGCAGGTCCATGGTGGTTATCACTCCCTCCTGCTATTTGTGCTACAGCTCAGATGGATTCAGAGATTTAACTCAGCTCAACTCAAAATGTTTTGCTCGTAAAAATGTTTTGCACATAAAACATTTTGAAGTTTTTCAACCAGCCCTAACCTTGCTTGTCAATCCAGAGTACTAAAAAGGAACAATCTGTGATCTGAGTAAATGAGTTTACAACAGCATCCTGGCACTAGGTACTCTTCAGGAGACAGCTGTGAAGGTATGTTTAAAATGTTTGTAAATATTTTGAAAATTTAAAAATGGATTTATTTTTTCACGTGTTTGATCTGCAAGAATTATTTAATTAGATCTATGCCATTTAAAGGATTCTACTGTGAAGAAGTGTTTCGCTGTGAAATCCTACAGTAAAATTCTTTCCAGATTAAGACAAATATAGCAAAGAGAACAGAAGTATGAGGGCATATCAAGTATGGCAAAAGCCACATCTACTGTTCAATGACATATATACATTTTTAGAACATTCATTCCTGCCACTCAAGACAAATTAAGATATTTTCTTAATTCCTCATTGTTTCAAATGTAGGCTCAGCTCAGATGACTGGGCAAACATAAAAGGATTCCAGTCAAAGATTCCTTGAGAAGTCTTATTTTAAACTAAAATACATTGTAGCTGCAGTTGCAAAGAATCCCTTCAACTATTGCCATCAAAAGCAATTACAGAAAGCCCTGTATTTTTTCTGGTTTGTCACACATTAGAAAGTACACTGTGTGTAAACCTGTGCAGTCAAGTGTGTTTGTAGGCTTCCTGCTTGCCAGAATAAAATCTTAATAGAAAGACAATGATATTTACACTTCATAGCAACATTTTTGCTCAGATACTTCAAAAGATTTACATACTGTTAAATAATGCCATTTTTCTTCTTAATAAACAGCACGTGGTTGAAAACAAAAAAAACCCCAATCAATTTCATAGCAAAATTTTAATGAGGTTTTAATTTGCTGATAAAAGAAGATCTATATTTAGTCAAATACTGTGTCTCAGCTAATATTTCAAAAATCACATCCACCTCTTTCCCACAGACTGAGCGGAGGACGTTCTTTTAAATGCTCACACCATCATTATCTAGTATTTCTAAAGCTAGTTTCACTCCAAATGATCTTATTCATATCAGCAATCCATTAGCTCACTGCTGAAACAGTCTCCTGTGACAAGAACCAGGACAATTATTTCACGGCAAACCACTGAAACACAGAGCAGGTCAGAAAGGAGAGTACATGCTATCTAACTGAAATGACGATGGATTCAGCTTGAGGTAGGAGGGAGAGTCTGTGGCACTCCAGGGATTTGTTCTCTGTAAGTGAAACTGTTGCTTTACAAACCTGGGGAGACAAACCTGGTTTTCCTCAGCTAGCTCTTCAGGGCACAGGCTGTAGGGTTCCCCCTCCTCAGTTACAGCTGAGGCTCTGTAATGGATCTGGCTGTTCTTCCTCTGCAGGACTAAGTTTTAGGGGTGGTGGTAGATAATAGAGATACTAGGCATTCACATAGCTCATTCTCCTCCCTCATGCCCAGATCTACCTATCGGCTGTAAATAACCTCCTCCACAGAAAGCCAGTTTCTAAATGCACAGCAGTGGTTCCTGAGAATATGGTTATGGCAGCAGACTGCAAGTTTCAAACATGTGCCGCTTCCTTATGTTTACAGGGAAAGTTTGGTTCAGTGAGCAATAAAATATTTTCCACAACAACTGAAAGCCCTCTAAAGATAACATTAATAACAAAACCTGCTCTAATGAAGGTTTACCTGCTCTCTAGAGCAAACTTAGGATGTGTAAATTATTTTTAAGCAGATGGCTTTAAGTAGTTAACAGCAGCTTAATGAGGCAAATTAAAAACAGTTCATGATTTGCTAAAC